GCCTCCTCGCTCGCGTCCTGGACCACCTCAAACAACGTCTCGGCTCCCTGCACGCCCAGCTTGTCGGTCCTGCAGATGAGTGGTCCCATCAGCAAGGGGCCCAATTTTGTCGGGTCGGCCGCTTCGCCAACTCCCTGCGACGGACACTGAACTCGCTCAAACATGCCGTGGCCAGGCAGGATTGGGGATCCGTCCACGTCTGGCAACAACATCTGGAGCCCTCATCCGGCCTCTTGCCCTCGGATTGCGCGGCGGCCATGAGTGCGGCCATCATCGCTTCCAACTCTGACTGGGAGGTGGAGTGCGGTTTATTTCACAGACCTTTCCCTAATGCCGCTGTAGACGAGGACTGGGCATCGAATGCTTGGTCCAACCCCTGGGACAGCCGCGTGGACTCGCGCAGCGCTTATCTGGATGCACCAACAGAGCTAACCTTTGACGGCTGGGATTTCGGTATGTATAGCGACGGGGGCATGCTCAACGACGCCAATTGTACCTTCAGCAGTCAAGCTCGATCCTTTGGTGGGGCAGGGGACTACTGGGAAACTAGCCATGCCTGCACAGAGCGTGTTATCAGTCGTCTCCCCCTCAAACTGGGACACGAACCTGCGGGTGTACACGAGGCCGAAATGGCCGCGATGCTCGCCGCTCTCCGGTGGCGACGGCCTGATGGTTGGAATCTTCTGGTGGTGGACCGCAGCTCCCTATGTAATGTACTTCAACAGGCCAATCTTCAACGTCCCGCTGCACTACTCCATCTCACAAGTCAGTTTCTGGTGGGCAGGTTACAGCGGATCCTGACAGACCTACGTGGCTCTTGGCAAGAAACCACAGCGAAGCCCTCTTGGAGACTACAGCAAGAAGCCTTCCCAACGATCTGGAACTGCAAACATCAGAACAAGTGGATGTGCAAAACCACGCACTGTACTGCAGGACTAGTTGCTGTAGACATCAAATCGCATCAACAACATAGCACTATCCCACACCCCGTTATTACCCGTGGCAATGAACTACAAGACGAAGGATGCAGCCTCGCACGTAGCTTATCGCGCCCGCCAGACGTTCTATACCCCACTGGTGGTTTCTTCGCTTTCCTGGTCACAGAGGGTAAGGCCATTGGCAGTCCCATACGCAAAGTTGTCCGCGCGATTCTCCGTTCCCAGGCAACTCAACAGTGGAAGCAGCGCAAAGTCCAGGGACATGTGGCGACGCAGGCGCACGAAGTCTTCGGCCCTGCGCTGGATATGCGGTTATTCACGCATGTATCGGTGCCACCACCCTGGACGCACTGGCTTCTTCCCACTGATCAACGCGATGGACTGGACTTGTCCAGGTTCCTCTACCGGTGTGTTCGTGCTGTGGGTGGCTCCTGGACCGAAAGCATCAAATCTGACACAGAACTGGCTCGGTTAGCAGCGCATTGGGCAGATACGAACCAGCTCGAATCCATGCGGACATGCCCGTTGTGTACTACAGGTGCCGGAACTCCCCGACATACGGTTATGACGTGTGCTGGGATGCAACATCTGTCCAATCTGCTGCGCACCGACGTGGAAACCCTGCTAGGGCAACTGGCACAACGCGAGCGGCTGTTACAGAATGCTGCGGATTGGAGGCGGGATTGCAGACGGCAGGGACGGGATCACCTCATTCCCGACCCCACCGCCCATAGTACAGACACCTGGCCTACTCTCGCCGCATGGAGATGGTTGGTTACTCTCCCAGGCCGCGAGCCTCAGCTTAGTCAAGATGTCGATGGCCACAGTGCGGCAGCGGTGTCGCGGGAATGCGCGTGGGACTTAGGACACCGCGCAGTTCTACCATCTGTTTTGGGTCGGGCCCTGTGTCAAAGGGAGCCGCCGCCAGACTTGGAAGAGTACTCAGTATGGAGACACACGGAGCAGACGACACGGGAGGCTGAGCAAGCACAACACCGCCATGATCGCATCAGACCTGCGGTACAGTGTGTCACTCTTCTCCTGCTAGGACTGCGGCGAATTCGGGTGGAATATGCCCGCCGCATTGAAGCCTGGAAGCAAATGCAGTTAATCATGGAGCAGTTGCGGGTTCCAGAGGTGGTGCCGCTCGAGGCCCCGCCCGCGGATGATGAAAGGCCACCTTCCATACTGGACGCATGGTTTGACACACCGCGCGGCCACACCACGGCCCGCGAACTGCGTTGGTTAGCCCCCGGCCTATCCGTGCTAGCCGCCCGCATCAAAACAGAAGTACCTGCATGTCGCCTTTCCCCCCACAGCATCCGGGTATGTGCCGCCTCCCATCGGGTCCCTATTACTCTCAACGGACAGCCAAATTGGGCGGATGCTTGGCCCCCCTTTGACCAGATGAAAATGGCGCTTCGGACCCCTTGTACGTGTCGCCCCGCGCAGCCGGATTCCATCTCCTACTGCTGGACGTGTGGGGGTGTCCAGCTTCCTCCTGCTGTTCAGCCGCGGGATTGCCCCTTCTGCCACCGCGGCGATGGGGGATCCCAGTGCCGTAACTGCGGTTGCGCTGTTCATATCATGGGACAGTGTGCTTGGAACCGCGGGGCCAACCGCTGCTACCAAGCAAGTGCTCTGGATGCGATTTCCCTGTGCCCGGACTGTTGGGGTGTTTGGCGCTCGGCTCTCCTAGCTTCGCCGAGACGCCCGGCCAGGGCAACTCTACCACCAGGCAACCTCCTCAATCACTTGATGCAATTGTCTCAACAACGACAGGCAGGAGCTGGTGCCAGCACTTTCCACGCACGGGATGGTGAGCGTCAACGAGTCCGCAGGTGGTGCCTGCGAGCCCTCCCCCGGGACTGGACTGCCTTCCCCGACCTCCTTCAACATGCGGAACGGCACCTCACCGATGTGACCAACATAGAGGCACTGTTACGAGACGGACTTCGACACTGGCATCGACGGGGGCACGCGGACACCCAGGTAGCACTGGGAGTATTGCATTTTAGACGACGCCCACCCACATGAACAAACCGCTTAGCCTTTGCGACATGCGCATGCTTGCTCTTGGAGCTAACATCGTGGATGCAGTCCATGTAGGATTCTCTCCGGCTGGGGGAGCGCTACATGGGGCATCGAAGTATAGATCTGCAACTCAACCTCGCCGCTTCCCGCAGCCGTTTGGTTTCCGTTGACGTTGGGATAGTTTGACATAGGCGGGGCCTTATGGCGGCAGCCTCCTTGCTGAGAGTTTTTTTTTTTTGGTTTTTGTGCACATGGTGCCCAGACATGCACACAGACTCCACCTGCCATTTACTTCACCAGCAGTCACACACGCATGTCGCTGCACTCGCCTTTGGTTGGCGGCGAGGCCTCGGAGTGGACAGGCAGATGTTACAACGCACAGCTTGGGGACCTTGCGCGGGAATCGTGCATGGGAAGATTTCGACGGATTTTCTTTCAAGTGCTTGGAGACAGTCCTCATGGAAGTCTGCGCCCCACAGCTGTGACGAAATATCTACCGTATCGTGCAGTCTTACAGCTTAGGCTGAGTATCGCAGGTGATGAATACCGATCTGCCATGAACGTACCGCCGCATGCTCCCATGCTGACAAGAAGTCTTTGAAACACGTTGCAGGCTGAAAAACCTGCGCATCCCTGACGGCGGCGGCGCACTGATTGGCATTGAAATTAATCACTACAGGTCATTTGATCAGGACAGGCTTCTCAGCACTGCCCGATCAGAGACGTCAATGACGCCGATGCGTATTCTCACGACGTCCTCCTGCCCTTAACCTGTTGTAGTCGTGCGTGGTTACCTCAGGGGATTCCTACGTTCGGCGGAGAGGCAGTCTATTCAAGGGAAGACATTGACAACGGGACGAGATTGCAATGGTTACTGGTGTGCCTTGTGATGTAGGAGGCCGGGCTGAGGGAGCTTGTGCTTTGGCATGGTTGTTACGAAGTCTCGTTTGCTTTCTTGTCTTAAGGGTTAAGGGTGATAAGCTGACAGATGCTCTTTCGCATCACAGCTCAGAGCATGGCTAGTGAAAGTCGCGATTACGGGATCACACAGCACCATATTTCCGCTGCATTTGCGTATATTTGCGTTGATGCCGGGAGCTGAAGAGCGCAGCGGTCGTGGCTACAATCGCTATGATTCCCAAGACCTTTAGGACTGGTAGGCCTTCTGCATGTAGGTTCGGAACAGGGTTGCTGGGATCTATGCTCACAGGACTGCGCGCTGCAAATTTTTAGGCGCCTCAGCAGGTTATCCAGAAGCAGAGTGCAACCTCAGGGTAGTGAGGTTGCAATGAACGCCGCATTAGAGGGTTTTCTCGCAGCCCCGGCGACTCCGGGACATTATCACGTGCCAGCAGATTCAGATCAGATTGTATGCCTGCAGCCACGAGACACGCAGTCACAGGCATTGGATGACTGTATCCAAGTCATCTGGTCCCATCCACATTCCACGAGTTTTCTGACTGTGTCCGTCGTGGAGCGCCACTGCACTCCGGATTGGAAAACGATTGCACAGTTTGCTGAGGATGTACATTCCTGCAGATCAGAGCTTTCAGATCCCCGCATTTGCTCCGACTGTTGGTCTCTTCCCACTTCCATCGTCTTCCTGCTACTGCCGCTGCTGCATTTGCTCTGCTTCGCATGGGGCCATGACGCTTGCGGAGCCCCATGCCCCGTTTGCGTCTTAACCCTCCGGGGCGGAGACAACTCGGGTGCCCGTCTCCTTGCCAGGAGTCGACCCCTCTCTCTCTCTCTCTGTCTGTGCGTCCGTCTGTGTGTCTGTCTCTGTCTCTGTCTCTGTCTTTGCCTGTCTCTGTCTGTCTGTACATGTCTGTACATGTCTGTACCTTTGCGGTGCGGCCGAGTATTTGTGCATCTGTGTCTGTCTGTGTGTTCTCTGTGTCTGCGCTACTGCGGGTGGCCTAGACATGACGTCAGCAATCATTTCAAACTGCAAGTGGCGCGGAGTCTGTTCCGAACTGACGGCCACTGTGAGGGCCAGCGATTCCAAACAATGGAACTTTCACTGAGCTATTGCGAATTCAGCGTTTCTTCATCCATGCTATCCTCGATGACCCATCTGCCAGCGGCACGTTTGACCTGCGGCCTTGGCGGTTGCATCCTTGCTTGGAGACAGATGATATGCTGAGCCGCTAGGCCAGGTCCGCCCTGAGAAGCCTGCTCGTCCTCTTCGCGTGCTTCGGCAAGGGCCTGCCAGGATAGGAAACCACAATCCAGCAAACAAAATGCTGACTCTCATACCAAGGCCAGGCACAGAGAGTTCTTCAGTCTGCATCTTCTTGAGGTTCTGTCGCCAAAACACTTCTTCAAGTTGTCGCCTCGGTCATTTTCTCTAGTTCCGCACATGGTGCTAAACGTATAGCAGCTGATAGCGGCTCTCGTTTCGACAGAACTGTGTCTGCCAAGTACATGTAGGCTTTTGCAGCTCCAGCTGCTGTTCCAGCTGCCGCGCTTTCAGCTCTTCAATGCGAGCAAGCTCATCGTACCGTCGTTCCCGCTCCTCTTCTGAGACCCAAGGCCTCCGAAGAGGAGAACAAGGGGGCACTTCTGTAAAGGGAAGAAGAGGAGGAGGAGGAGGCACTGCTGAGACACGCACAGCTGCTCCGGAGCCAATGCAAAGTACAGCGACCTCGGCAGCCGCCGAAGCAAAGCCCGGCCTTCCGCTCTGCCGCTCTGCCGCTCTGCCGCTCTGCGCTGGGCCGCTCAGTGCTCTGAAGCTCAGGTGCTGGCACAGAAATGACGGCGAGATATGGCAGGATTTCCAAGCGAAACTCCGGAGCGGCTTCTTCCACTTCCTTGGAGGACAACTGCACCGGCACTGTAGACTCTGTCTGAAGCAGAGCGTCCTGTGGTGACGCTGGCCGTGGCCTGGAGATGTGCAAGGAAATCTGTGCTGGGTGCCCAAAGCGCCGTCAGCCTGGAGGGTGGCGGACTTGGATCGGGCCGACCTGCAACCATTCCAAAGGTCGCCCTGGGCAAGATGAAAAGAATGATTGAGGCATCCACTTGTTGCCCAAGTCGGGGGCTCAACCCACGTCTCCTGCATCACAAGCTTCAGAGTTTAAAACATCATCCTCTTTTTGCGGCTCTCCTCATCAGCTTGCCTTTCCTGCGGCTCCCGGTACTCCTCTGGGTGGCCAGATTCTGGACGGAATGAGCGCTTTACATCTTCTTCCGAGTGGCGCCCGTGTACGGGTTGTAGCCGATCTCATCCCAGACCTGCGGTCTGGGCTCTATTGCTGCTATTGCTTCGAAAAGGGCACCTAGCAGGCAGTCTTTCGAATCTGTCTGTAGCCGGTGGTCGAGATGTCAACTTGACTGCAAGCAGTGGGGAAATATAGCCCGCAGTGTCAGCAGCGCAGGATTCAGAAGTTGTTCGCCATTCCGGTATGAGTAGGTCTCCCAACGACAGGTTTGCATTGCAAAAGACGCATCCCAGATCATGCTTACCGAGTTTATCACATCACACTGACATCAAGGGTGCGTACTTTAAAGCCCAGACCCGGGGATTGGCCAGATCTCAAGGCCTTGCTGGTGACGGTGGTGATGATGATGACGACAGTGGTGGTGGGGGTGATGGCGGTGGTGGCGGCGGGGTGGTGGTGGTGATGCTGATGCTGATGCTGATGCTGATGATGATGATGATGATGGTGGCGCCGATGCCACCAACATGCTGCATTCACTGGAAGGGCTGTCATTGAAAACAAACCTATCTAGGCTACCTGCTGTCCCCCATCATTCGTGTATTACCCGCCAAAGTCTCCCGCACCTTTGGATCTCGGAGCACCTGCAAGACATCCCCACGCCCATTTTCAACCAAGCCATGCTCATACCCCCCATGTACTCCAAGGAAGCACCCTTCACTTTCGGAAACAAACACTTTTGAAATGAACCTCCTCCAAATCTACACCTCCACCCTGAATAGGTACCCAGACTCCATCAAGAAGCCAAGCTTCCTTTGCCTCGTTCAAATCCCTCGGGTTGTATCCACCGCTTTGGCTCCACCGCCAGTTGCCGGGTCTCCCAAAGCAAGTACGTTCAACGCATGCCCGTGAAGACAAACGAATCCCGCGCCTGGAAAACTCAGCTTCTCTCTTTGCTTGGAGGTCTTCTTCAGACCGAGGCGGCCAAACCATGCCAGACCTGATGACCGGCGGGCCAAAAAGCCTTGAGCCGCTTAAGCCACTTAAGCCCTAACCTAAGGCTCCCTAAAGCGCTCAGCCATTGATTCGGTTGATCCGCACGCTCATATTGCTCAGGTCAGAAGTTGAGATCGCGGCTTTGCAGTGGTCTGTCGCACGCCTGGAGAGTGGGAAATCTGTTTCCCAGGCTGCAACGTGTCTTCTGGAATCTCTGTCATGTGCCATCATTTGCTGCATTGTCTTATGGCTCTAGGCCCTAAGGCTGCGAAAGCTCCCAGCGTCGACGGCCACTGAGCACCGCATATGCGTCCAAGACTGCCATGAACTCCTCAGAATCTTCTGCCGCACCACCTGTCTGGCAGAAGTGCTTCATCTCGTGCAGCACAGAATTGGTGCATCCAAGTTGCCTTGTAGGTCCGGATGAAGACGTGCCACCTTCTTCCTGTTGCTTGCAACAGCCTTCTCAAAGAAACCTGGCCCAACAACTTGCACCTGAATGCCCTCTTCACTTGCGCTGCATCCGGAGAGGTTGCCGGATCAAGGCCCAATGCTATCAGCCTTGTGCGCAGGCCATGCAATCAAAACAAACATGCCAGAACACCGAGGACGTGAAACTCTCAGAACGAAGCGCTGCAGAGCGATCTTGTGGCGCAAGCACCGGCAAGCTGCACATAGATGTCCTGACACGCAGAAACACAAACATGGCTGCGAGTCCATGCTCGGCCTAGCTTGGCATAGGTACATAGTTCGCAAGCATCGCCTGCTAACACGGTGCCATCCGGGTAGCATCGGCCAGTGCAGGATTTCTGCACCTCAAGTTTGTCGTAGCATTCAGTAAGTACACGGATAACGCAGCATTTGCCATTACATCACGGCCGTGCTAGAGCTAGAAACGGAGAGGCTATTTCTTCGACCTGTCAGTTTCGCTGTTTCTGTCTCCTGGTAGTCTGGAAAGGAAGATAGCAATTGCCTCGACAGCTATGTGGAATTCAAGCATCCGGCTGCGGCTTGACCAGGTGAGTTGGCTGCCGGACAACACCACGGCGACGAAAACCTGCCAAATGGTCACCAGCAGCCATGCAACATCGCTGCATTGTCTTTCTGCTTCCACGTCTTCTGTCAGCCAGGGACTGCTGCCTGCTGTCGGACACATCTTCCAAAGCTCCTGAAAGGCAGCTGCACGTCGGAGTAGCTGCTAGGGCATACCTGCATCTACGAATCTGTTCGAGATCTGACAGCCTCGCAGCAAATGACTAGAGCGTGTCCATCTTAAATGCGATGCCTGCCTGGACCTTCAACCAAAGGCAGTGGGTCTGTCTTTAAGCTTCTCAATGAGTTTACGCATGTTCCTAGCCAAAGACTGCTCAGTGACCCGCGCGTCCACCGCATTCCGCGATCCGCCGTGAGGGGGTCGGGCATGCCCGCGACGAGTGTTGAGTCTTTGGGAGCCAATGACTCTCTTGAGGGTGCTGGGAACCAGTTAATCCTTTGCGGGCTTGGGGTTTGCAAGCATCTTCTCCCATTCGGGTTGTAAGTTTGCCAACCATCAGCCTCTTTCAGGGTTTGGGGCTGGAGGACTACTAAAACGCCTTTTCGGCGCTTTCGTGTTGCAGAGGTCGAAACTGTGCATTCCTGCAAAACCCACCATCCGTTCCCGTCCAGGTCCACTATTCCAGCAATAGTTGTTGTTCTGCAGGGTGGCCAAACTGACCGGCCAGGTGCAACTGTGGGTTTCGATGGTTTGCTACACGTACACGTTGAAATCGGAGACATGGGTGCGTTTGGAAGGACCCATTAAACGAGAGAACGAGAGGAGGCGAACGGGCGCGGCGGCTTCTGCTCCATGCAATGCTCGACAGTTCTTTGATCCCTGCACCTAATCTGAGTTGAGCATACTTTTGCAGATTGCAACATCACCATTTTCTCTGAAGGCACAGGCACCTGGACCGGGACAATCCACATCGTGTTGCTCTGTGCTGGCCGGCCGTTGCAAACCAGCACCACGACATCTACAAGCATATCGACAAATGCAATAGGTCCTCCTGCTCCGCATGGCAACGTGCCTGCCTTCACAGCTAGTAACCTGTTAGTACATACTCAGCAGCTTCATATCCGAACATAGCAACAATGCAATGATCTCTTCATATCTACGCGTAATCCACACATTTCTCATTTTCTCTTGTCTGTATATCGGAGAAGGCGCAGTAGCAACCTTGATCCAGAGCCACGCAAGCAGAGGAAAGTTGCAAGCAGAGGAAAGTTGCATAGCGAGCGAAGCAGCACAAAGTCTGTACAGTGTCAAGGGATTCCATTCGCGCCAAATATCGGCCCTGGCAAACACAGCTTTATGTCTGGAATCTCGGTGGTGCATCTGCCATGTGATGTGTTTCATTTCGGTTGATTTATTGGTCCGAAAATAGAATGGGTTCCAATCATAACAACGGCGGTGTCTGTTCTGTGGTCGCTCCAGTCTCGGAGATCCTTCTCAGTAGCCAAGTCTCGGAGTGCGGACCGTCAAGTCTTGCGAGCCCAGCTCTAGTCTTTTCTGCAGTCTCCATGCTGGACGGCAGCCGATAGAAGCTAGCAGCTGGCCGACTGCAGCATGCGCTATGGTGAAACCAGGGCGATGGAAGTCTCACTTTGGGCTTCCACCAGTCTCCTGCAGGGCCCGGACGAGGAAACGGACCGTGCGAGTTGCACCTCTTTTGGCCCTGGCCTTGGCCATCTCCCTCCGCGAGCGGCCAGCGCGGCTCGCCGCAAAGACGCTGGCCGCCTTCGATCGCTCTCAGGCAAATCGCCGACCGAGGCTCTGTGCTCAGACCCCCTCTGCTTTGCAGCTCCTTCTCCATTCCCCAACGGCGAATCAGCGCAGCACCTGAAGGAGCACGACGTAGGCTGAGCAAAATACAACAACCAGAACAGCATTGAGGACTCTGCATCCTTTGGCTGCATCTCCCAGCCGCAAACGCTCGGAGCCGGCGGAAGCGTCACCATGCACCGCCTGCGCTGAGCAAAGCATAGGATCTGGATTCTCCAAGCTACCAGCTACAGCATCACGGGACTAACTGAGCTCACATTGCATTCTTTATTGCTTTAGTCAGTCTTGAAGCAAAACCATCTGAAACCGAGCGCAGCACAGTGGGCAAAGCCCAAGCTGGCAAGCGACAGTCATCCTTCCAAGGCCAAACGGCGCACCAAAGTCCACAGTCTCCCGCAGCTCTCCAAATTCTCCAATTGAAAGCCGTCCTCGTCACAAGTAGCGACGATTGAGTCCTGCGGCTCGCGAACAGCGGCAGAGAGGCAGGCCAGCTGCTAGCTCCAGGCCATTCTGAGCTCAGACTCTGTAGCAGGTCCCTCGCCAACGGCTCCCACTTCTTGGCGACACTCCACTCAACACCGAGCCGCGCGGCCACCCCCTGCACGAAACTCGAAAAACACGGGAGACAGCTGCCCGGACCAACGAAACCTGCGACTAACGGCTGTACTATAGTTGCTGCCATGATATGATTCGTGTTGGTGGCCATTTCCAGCAACCTGTTCATGTGGCCGGACTGCGGATACTGGACAGCAGAAAAACCTGAGAACCTTCACAGCAAGAAAAAGGGCGAACGAGCAGCAAACTCCCATATGGCACAGATCGTGAATGAGTGTACTCAACCAACATACCACCGAAAGAACGTTGACATACATTCTTGCAGATGCATGCAGATGCGTGATTCTGGTGTGGTGTTCGGCCGTAAACAATTGCTGCGACAAAAAAGCATCTCATGCGGTGCAGCTCGGATGGCTCCTATCTTTCGGTCAGTCGACAGCTAATCATGAAGTTGGACAAATTGCCAACAAAATTGCCCGCCTTCACCAAGACTGACCTGAATCAGTTGGCGCAGTGAAAACATCTTTGGGCAGCCACGGCTCTAAGTTACGCGGTTACATATGATCCAGGACCTCGCCACATGGATCTGCTTCTTTGTCTGCCCCGCTCCCCTGTGAGAGCTTGTGCTTATGGTGCTGTCTGACCCAATTGCTGCGTGTGCGTGTGCATGTGGGTGCAAGATTGCGTGTCCATGTGGGTGTTGGTGTGCGCAGTGCACGGTGCGTGGTGCGCCTGCGCATGCGCGTTTGGGTGTGCGTGTGCGTGTGTGCGTGTGCGTGCGCGTGAAGGTGCGTATGCATGTGCGTGCCCGTGCGATCCCGTGCGGACATGTGCGAGCGTGCGCAGGGTGTGCGAGGTGTGCGGGGTGTGCGGGGTGTGCGGGGTTGCGGGGTGTGCGGGGTGTGCGGGGTGTGCGGGGTGTGCGGGGTGTGCGGGGTGTGCAGGGTGTGCGGGTGCGTGAGCGTCTGCGTGTGCATGTGCGTGGTCGTGTGCGCGTGGGCTTCGAGGAGCATGTGTGGGTGTGTGGGTGTGTGGGTGTGTGGGTGTGTGGGTGTGTGGGTGTGTGTGAACCTCCCTAGCACATGGGAGCAGAGGGTCACTCCTTTCCGCCTGTATTTTCACAGTATTTGTCAATGAAACACATGTTGTCAAACACAATAATTTTTGCAGGGGAGTGTGGCACTTGCGTCCTACCACACTCAACGAAGCTGTGGATGCAAGTGGGAAGCGGGACCTGATCAGTCCTGTGTACCTGCATGGCAGCCCCCTGTGGTGCCAAGATTAGTTCACAGACAGGCCCCCTGTGGTGTCCGGATTAGACAAACAGTTTTATGATTGTACGTTTGCCGCAATCTGACATGTGCTTGCAACAAACACAACATGCCTCTCTTTTTCCTCTTGCACTCGTACTCTTGGCCGAATCAGTCAGTGTGACTATCGTGGGTCCCGAGACCCCTGAGCAGCGGCTTTCCGTCATGGCGCCGTGGTGTCCCTCCGAATGGGAAACCGGTGATAAACCGGATGTTCAGACTTTCGTTCAGACCGTTCAGATCTCCCGATGCTCTTTATGATTACTTTCTCTCTCTCTGATGCCCGCATGCGAGTCTGACATGAGTGCAGTTGCAGTAACGGTCGGCTAATGCGGTAATTGCGGCTAGTGAGCAGGTGCTACCTCGCTAGTCTGTCCCCTGTTCGATCGCTTCTTTATTCCTCAGGGAATGCAAGGGCATGAGTTTCTGACATGAGCGCAGATGCAGTAACTTTCGTCTAATGCAAGTGGTTGCAGCTTCCTCCGGGAAGTAATCGGCCTCTCCTTTGTTTCTTCGACTTCTCTCAAGACAACAAGGCCTCGGCAGCCACAGATTTGCATTGCTTGTGCGACCAACTACGTTTCACCATCATGTGGTATTCGCAACAGCAGCCTCCGACATTGATGCAGCAAGGCACCGCCTTCCCAGGGACATTCCCGCCCAACGTGGTGGCCACACCACAGCCGCTACAGACATTTCAACAACAGTGGCATCTTACAGACCAGCCTACGGGCAATCCAGCCACTTTCTACAACCCATGTGGGCAAACAATGCCCCCACAGCAGTATCCCGCCATGTTCCTCACACAACAACCCACATCACAACCACAGCCTCAAACAATGCCATTTACACCACTGCTGCAACAACAGCCACCCCAACAAATCATGCAGCCACACATGCCACAACACTATTTTCCCGCTGCACAAACATTCAGCCCCACAGCCGTGCAGCCAGTCCCAGCACAGCTTCCCACAGCACCAAATGCTCACCCCACATTTTCGGCACAGAACACCACACAGAGCATCAACATTCCCCCACAACCACAACCCCACACATCCCCTTCTCACATGGACAACACCACAAACCTCTCTCCGCCACCCCCACCG